TTCATTGACAGACAGTTCGACTTTCATGGTTGCATAAGCCACAAAGGTAGCGTCATGCGATGAGGTTGTTTCAAACCACTGAATCAAACCAATGGTGCGTGACGTGGGCTTAAAAAAAACCCTGTCCACGGACGTCTGGGATGAATAGTAGTATGTCAGGCTCAAGATATACAGTAATGTTAAGATACAGAGTACATGTGTCAGCCACGTCAATGTTCATGTGTTATGTTCTTGGAAACAGCCCTTTTTTACACCAAATTTCAAGGACATTTCAAGGACTTTAAAGCTTGTGGAAAATACACTACTCTCACAGTGCCTCTCAATACTGGAAGATTTGCAATACAGTCAACTCTCTCTAAGTGGACACCACTGTAAGGTGGACACCTCTCTAGGGCGGACATGGTTGGCTGGACCCGGCCGAATCAAGTTTCTCTTATTTTTCTGTAACTAAACTCCCTAGAACTGGTACTGAGGGTGTCCGCCTTAGAGAGAGATGACTGTATACTGGAATATACATGTACAAGTGGATTCTGTCAAATTGTTGGAGAGTCTGACAAAATGATGTGGAACAACCAAAGTAGCATCACTACTCACTCATATATCTGCGATCTTGATATGTGCCACCAGTCCAATCTGATACCTAGATAATTAGAATAAATAGAAATCAAATGCACACATTTATCATAAATGTGACTGTCACATTGACTAATTCAACACATGTAAGCTTTCATGTAGTGTAGAAATGTGAACAGATGTGCTTGATCTCAATGATTTACATTAAAAATTGATGTAAATGACTCACTTCAAATATTAAGATAAAATGTTATTATTTCTCATATTTCTGTTTCTATACAGTTATAGGGGTGGCAAATGGTATAAAATTAAGGACTTTGCTGTTTAGCCTGGCTTCGATTCCAACTCAAGCACATATTAAAGCGACCATAAGCAGGCACAGCTCTCAACACCGAACGAGAAAAAGAAAATTTTCAATTCTTAACAAAGCTAAGGGTTCTTATTTTGCTATACTAAAAAGCCATGTGAAAAATAGCATCCGGCGTGGGAATTAAGCTTACGTTTACATATTCAGCGATTAAAATGTTAAGAAATATCGGAAAACCGACGTGGCATTTTGTGACACTATAAAACCTAGCTACTTTTGGTTTTACCTTTCCTAGACGATCCCCTTTAGAAAATGGCTGATATGGTATGTCTTTGAACGCAGTTGGAATGGCACAAGGGCCCCAGCCATCGTGATTATCTTCGATAACCGGCGGAATAAAAGGTGCCTTCCCCGCCATGTTGAATTTTTAGTATCACGTGGGAAATTATTTTCTGTGAATTTTACACAACGTATATGAAATCCGCTGTCTCAAAGTACCGGGGCGGCGATCTGCAGAAAAAAAGGAAAATAGAAAGGAAAAAAAAACAAACAGTAAAAGCCAGAATTTTGTAGTCTTCATTCTTTCAAAAATCTAAATCGCAAACATTGCGGTAAAAAAAGGAAAAAACCACGAGAATTTATCCCTCTGAGAACCGAGTGAGCTTTCCGCTTGTGGAATAAAGGGAGGGGGAGGAGGACGGGGAGGGGGAGGTACTCAGGAGATTGTACCTCCCCGGCAGAGAGGCCGGGTAGGCTCGATTTCCGCCCCTCTTTCGAGTCCGGTATCTTCGTTAACAGCGGCTGATAATCGAGTAATGGACCAAGTGAGCTGGACCCACTAGCTAGTAGGCTTTACGTACCCTGAACAATTCCGCGGGCGCACGCGAAAATCATCTCGAGAAGACGCGACGCGCGGCGGTGAGAAAAATCCGCCGCGCGTCGTGTCTCCTCGAGGTGATTTTCGCGCGCGCTCGCTCGCGTGCTCTCCCACTCGACTAGTCAGTCTGACCATAGTAGAGGGACTGCTCGTCGTCTACTTCCTACACATTACGGCAAGGAGCCGCTCGGTTTTCTTACTCCGGTGTGCCGTGGAGCTTCAACTCAAGAATGCTTAGCCCAACTCCTATGTCCAATTGCAAAGCAAACTATTTTGGAAATTCCTGTGTCGACAGGACGTATAAATTAAGAATCGCGCCGGACAAATTAATGAGCGCGCGTCGACAAGACAAACGATAACTGGATTGGATTACAAGGTGCAATGTACATGTAAAGGTCACACATGACCAATCACATATAAAACGCGTTTAAACGGTTTACATTCACATTTGCACAGAAATAATTTTGAAACAATAAAGTGTTGAGTGATTATGCATGTAATGATTTGGCCTTCAATCAGAGGTGTGACCTTTAGGACCTTGATTGGAGTCGGAGCGAATTTTTTTTCAAGAGGAGTTTGTTTGATTATTTCAACGGACTGGAATGATCTGGAACTGCTTCAGTACTTTGAATCGAAAAGGAAGAGAAATACCACGCAAGATTATAAATACAAGTCAGACAACTACCTGAGCTGCTAATATTATAATCCCACAAATCTGGCGGACAACTTAGTGAAATCCAAAAGAATACATGTCGGGGCGCAGTGGAGACAACTGTCCTCGCAGCCGGCTTTCTAAAATGACAAAATACTTGCGCTTGAACTGCTAGCAGCTGAGATAAAGAGATTTCTCCGGAAGGCATAAAGGATAAAGCATAAAGGATATAACCTGGGATACAAAGGTGAGAAATTGCTATTTGTATAGTGCATGATCATCCTTCATATACCTCAAATAGGAGCACTCATATGCATATGTAGTAAATTAAAAAAGTGGTACAAATATTTCACATCGATCGCATCGGGCATCGATCGCGTGCCATGATAATGTATTCTATGCGAATTTTGACAGACAAGCATGTTTAGGGAAAAGAGACCCCGGGAAAAGACCATCGGTCATGCAACGCCAAACTATGAATTCAATTGCAGTCGAGCATTTACCAAAGAAAAATACAGACCGGCAGACAAATGTAAATGATGAGCGCATCACATGATTTTAGCACGGAACAGACGCCTATCTGGATAAAACAAGGATCTATGTCCTTAGGCATATGTCCATATTATGTCCACAGGCCGATATGTCCATAACTGTACTGGTCGACTCAGTAGAGCGTGAAGCTAGCATGACACACGTGTGACACGCGTGTCAACCCTCCTCTCCACGCGGCAAAAAAATATGACAGGAACTAGTTTTGTCTTAGAATTGGTACCTCTTAGGTGTGAAAATGACTTCGAGCTACACCCTCCAAACGAGATTTTGGTACCTTTTAGGGGTTCTTTTCAAAATTTCCGACGAGATCACACCCGTCACTTTTATATGGGAGCCCCCCCCCCCCCCCCGGGAATCAGACCCAACCTGATCTGTGCCTTGTTGGCCCACTAAGCCTTAGCCTCAAGATGGGCGTTTTTTTTTACGGAGATGTACCTCCACTATCGGCCATCTCCATATACAGCGGCCAGCAGTTTTTTCGTCCCGTAAAACAATCTCATTTACTCTTATTATTCATGCGAGCGGGCAAGATGAAGTCAAATCCTGCATTGAGGATTGTCCGACTGGAGGGGGAAAGATGGGCGGGCCTATCTTGTCCGCCCACGATTTCCCGCAAGAACATTTCACGTACTGAAATTTTGCGTGAAGAAAAATATTTGACCCCATACTTTTCCGGAAGCAGTAAAATGATTTGTTATCTATCTATGGAGCCTAGCCTGAAAACCAAGAATTATAACCCTCCAGTGGGAATGACTCAGACAAAGTTCTTAATTCATGACTTTATTAGCCATAAAATAAATCATTTATTGACGTCACGAAGCTTATTCGGTGGTCCCTCGGTCTTGAAAGTACGGATCGAGTGCAGCGTACAGAAAGGGGCGGGGGAGGGGAATCTTGACTACGCACTTTTGTGGGGTCGTTCGGAACTTTTAATACATAACTAGACTGCAAAACAGCAATCTCGTTCCCAGAGTCCTCGTTACCCTTGTCCAGCGGTGGAGCGGCCAACAAGGATCTCTGGGATAGAGTGATCCGCCTGACTTGCGCAGTAAGACCGGAAGTCTAAGAATCTTGGCGTCCGTTATATAATTAGTTGAAACATGGGGCGGATCGCTTCCCCCCAGAGGTTCTTGTTGGCCGCTCCACCGCTGGACAAGGGTAACGAGGACTCTGGGAACGAGATTGGCAAAACAGTCTCTCGATATGTTGTGCGCGACGGGCCCGCGACGCGTGAATTGATAAGCGCGAAGCGCCGATGTGCGAGGTGGGAAGCGCCGACAATCCACGCGCGAGCCTCGTAACTAATGTGAGTGATCATTGGTCGATTGCTGCCTTTGCAATCCATTGACCAATCATAGCCAATCGATCCAACCCCTGGAATTTTGGCATAATTTGCATAATTATATAATGTGCACGATACACTACATGGTTCACTGCATGTATTTATTATGCATGTCTGATCTCTTGTTGAGGGAATCTCTGCAGCAGGGACTGCTGATGTGTTTAGTACACACGCTGGTAAAGTTAATTTTCGGGAAAATTCCATATTTAGGTCAGGTTTATTATTTCTAGGTAAGTACATCAGAAGTATTAGTTGCCAAAGTTGACAAGTTAATTCTCTTGTAAATAACGTTAAGAATGTAGTCGTGTAATTAACATGAATAACTTTACCATCATAGGGTTTACAAACATTCATTCATCTCTTCAGCATCAGCATCAACTATTTCGTTTAGTAGTCCAATCCTAATAACATTTCAACGAGCACTAAAATGGATTTTGAAATTACAGTTGAGTGCTTCTAAAAGTTAGATAAAAACGGATGACAATTCGAGTATTGAAGTGGAATATATCTTATCACGGATTCCATATATTGTGTCCTGGAACCTGCGAATTCCATCAGCTTCACTTCCAGTTCGCAATAGCTAGGAAAATTAACAGCCACATAAAAGAGTACATATATAAATGCATTCCAGAGTAGCTGAAATTTTCGAAAATTTGGCGACGGTTCATATATGATTATATCATTCACGGGAACATATGGCTTCATAGCTCAGCCGCGGTTAGCCAGTAGAGCATCGCATCGGAAACGCGGAGGTAATGGATTCAAATCCCGTTGAAGCCCTGAATTTTTTTCCCGGCTTCCAGTGCAATAAAACTACATGTGAGGATCATTTCTCTCTATCCGCATTTCATATACGGTTGATGATCTCATTCAGTGTATAAACACAGACAGCCCAGGCTCTGTATGCGAATATTAAATATTCAATGTTCATGTTCATGGCGGCGATTTGAATATTTATAGCAAATGTATGAGAAACTCACGAAATACATTCTAAATGCTATATTTTCGAAGGAAACTAACTAAAACTGACTCACATTGTGCAAGTGTTTTGTTATTTTGATGTTTGGGTGTGCCTGGTGCCCGTTTAAAGCCATTTAGACGAGTTTTGCTTTTTCAGTTGACCGTCCATTATGAGTAATTTAAAGGCCGGCGACAATTATTTACTCCACTTATTTTGTTAGATGTACTTGTGCAGTCACGACTCAAGGAAGTTTTGTGAACGCATCAACGTCCATCGAGGGCCGAGTTTAATTTGCACTTGTAGAAGCATCGTCTGTACTGAACAATGCTGAACTGAACATTTTCAAGTTGCGTGCCATTTTCGGTCTCTAAGTTGAAAACGCTTTATTACGAACAAATGCTTTTTAATCTCTCGAAAGTAAGAATACTTAACCAATACTCATGCAGTCTCGATCCGGCCAGATCACTGTAACCTGCGATTTGGCGCTCACATTTTTACAATCACTGATGCATCATGCATGTTCTCCTATTTTACTAGCTTCTTGTCTCGCCAATGTATGGCATTTTGTACAGAGTGCAAGCAGGTTACAATGGCAGAGGTGCAATCAAAACGATCGGTGATTTGATTTTGTCGTTTTCGACCTGAGATATTTACAGTGTTGTAGAAAGTACGAGTGTTACATCGCGCGCGGGGGCATCTAAAAATACGCGCGTTCGTCGGTGAAGTGATATCGCACATACAGTCAAACCTGTATTCCCTCGGGGAATGCTGTCGTGTCCGCGTAATACAGGGTGTCCGCTTAATAGAAGTATTATTTGCGGTAAATAAGGAAACTGATAAATTTGGACTTTTGCTACTGTCCGCTTAATACGGTATAACAGGTTGGAGTGTTGACTGTAATAACTGAATCCAGTAAGACATGTCCTGCGATTTATGGAATAAAACATCATGAACCTGAATGTTGTAACAATACATTTATATTTTTTTCAACTTTTGTTTCCCTCGGCAGCAGAAGATTAACAAATGATGTCTGAACCCGAGTCATTATTTAACGACGTGACCGTCATTGGTGCTGGTTGGTCTGGCCTTATGGCCTGTAAGTACATGCTGGAGGTTGGGTTGACTGCTGTGGCGCTGGAGAAACGCTCTGACGTGGGAGGCCTGTGGTGTTTTTCAAAGGATCCTAAAATCGTCACAGTCATGAGGTCCACGAAAACCACCTCGTCGTCATCCGTGACAGAAATGTCGGATTTTCCGATGCCGGAAGAGATCGGAGCGTTTCCGAAACACGCCGACGTCTTGGCGTATTTGAAATCCTACTGCACTGAGTTTAAGTTGTGGTCTCATATTCGTTTGAATCACGGCGTGAAAGAGGCGACAAAGAGAGACAACTTATGGCGAGTGGAATGCGAGAACGGCAGCGTGTTCACAAGTAAATTCTTGATCGTTTGTACGGGGTGCGTGCAGACGCCGAATCGGGTTCTAGAACGCACGCTCCTTCAAGATTTCGAAGGTGAAATCCGCCACAGTTCCGAACTCAAATCGTTTGTCCCTGAGCATAAAGAAAAACGCGTGATGCTGATTGGTGGAGGGAGACAGCCAGTGACGTGGTAGAGGAATGGTGCGACCATGTGGATCGCCTTATATGGAGTATACCACGTGGGATGCATTTCTTCCGTAAATTTGCCAAGATCTTACCCAACCGACAGCCTCAGGTCTTGGACAAGGCTTCCTCCCGCGTGATGAAATTCATTGCTCCTTACACGAAGAGCAAACCAGGTAAACCCAATCTAACAAACGTAGGCATTGCGCTGATTTAAAGCGATTTCAGTGAGTTTTCAACCTCGTTCCCAGGGTCTCTCTTCTTCCCGCCAAAAGCGATTGCTTTTGGTGGAAGAAGAGAGACCCTGGGAACGAGGTTGGTGAGTTTCTGGGACTTGACTGAATTACATTCGGCGCGCCTGAAATGCGACGTATAAATTGGGCCTAAGTCAACAGGAAAAAAGCCCGCCAATATGAAGTAATGATCTGTTAAGAGGAATGCAAACTATATCATGTACCCATTGCATGCCTATTTCACTGTAGATACACGTGCGGATAAATTTTGTGTTATTTAAGTCGGCGTACGGAAAAGAACGGTAATACATAACATAAACCATTCCAGTGGCTTTCCCGGACCTGTTTATAAGGTGGGAACCCGAAAAATTTGCCACTGCTTTCATATGATTACGTGGTTTTGGTACTCTGCTATAAACCCGAACTGAGACACTGTAATTTTATTGTCACTGAAAAGCCCGTAAGGGGAGTGTAAAATTAAAGTAAAGTATTCTATTGTATTGTAAGTTGCGGACTTGCGCGCACTTGCGTTGACTTTCAACAAGATAAAATTTTTGCACGCACGTAGACGCAGGTTTTTCACCGTTTGGTCACCAAAGAGTCACCCAACGCAAGTTTTTTGTCTTTACTTCGAGTACTGAATTGTAGCGCGCGCGGGAGCATTGAAATGGCTGTTTTTGCGACTTGCGCCAGGGATTAAGATTCTATATATTTGCCTCACGCATGTTGGTGTTTTGTGTTTTCTTACAGGCCTAGCATGGGTATGCAAGTGGACAACAAGTGGCTCGCTACTCGCCTATCAAGGTCACGGCATCTCCGAGTGGAAAAACGACGCGAAATTTTTTCACTTCATCATCAACAAGAACGGCCACGTGCTTGATAGGATCGACTACAAGCATTGTTTGCCCAAAGGCGCAATCAACAGCGTCAAGGGAAAGAGAGTAGTTTTCTGCGACGGCACAGAAGAGGAGGCGGATGTCATTATCCAGTGCACTGGTTTCAAAGCAGAATTCCCCATGCTCCCTTCAGAGATGAACACAGTGCCTCTTACCCATAATTACAAGTACCTGTTCAATGTCGAGGACCCGACGCTGGCTTTCATCGGCTACGTTCGTCCGGTGCTCGGCTCGTTGATCACGATGGCCGAGCTTCAATCGTGGTTTGCTGCGAAAGTTTTCTCGGGCCAGTGCGAGCTTCCTTCGAGAGATGAAAGGCAGAGAATAGCTGTGAAAGACAAGTTATTCTGGGATGACTACTTTAAAGATTCCTCCGGAGACTGTCCACACTGGTAGAAGCTTACACATATGGCGACGACGTAGCGAAGATGTGCGGGATCTTCCCCAACTTCTGGGAGTTGTTTAAAGGAAATCCCCGTGGCGCGTGGACGGCGTTGTCCTCCCCGTACGACGCGTGTTCATTGCGTCTAAACGAGCAAGAATACCAAGAAAAAGCGTTACAACACCTGAGAAGCCATTCGTCTGGCACCTTCTCTCCAGTACACCTTCTACTCATCATATTCATGCGCTTGATCTGGTTCGACTTCTGGCTCGATATCCTTGGCGAGATCAAGTACAAGATCCAGTGTGCAGGATGGTGGAAGAAGATCCGAGATTCACGACCCGTGCGCTTTTTAGACTGGTGTTGGCAGACGCCCAAGAGATGGCTGTTTGATAACAAAACGAGAGCCTAGCCTCATTTGCAGCACAGGGGGAGGGGGGGGAACTCCGTAATAAAAGTGACGGGGGTGATCGTCGTATCTTTTAGGGGTGGGTGGCTTGGTACTGCTTAGGGTGTTAAAATCTAAAATGACCACCGTGAGAGCTATCCCAGTACCTTTTAGGGTACTGAAGCCGAAAGAAATATGTCAGGCACTAGTTTTGTTTTAGAATTGGTACCTCTTAGGGGTGAAAATGAATTTGAGCCACACCCTTAAAACGAGATTCTGATACCTTTTGGGGCTTATTTTTAAAATTTCCGACGATAACCGCTGTCACTTTTATATGGGAGTCCCCCCCCTGAGGCAGCACCCCCGAGAAGAGTTTCAGTCGATTCATCCAATCAGATACTCTGCACTACAGACGTTTTGCACCCCGAGTTACGGCTTGGGTTGGCTCTGATTATTGTTTAAAGCTCAGATATAAATTTTTTTTATGGCGTGTAAAATATCGCGCCTGTTTTCTATTTGAAATTTCTATATTTAACGAGGAATTGGTAATGGAAATTTAGAGTGTTAATCAATTGGCCTTGGTCAAACTCTCATGGGGGGTATTCAAGTATGGTACGGGGTACCAGGAACAGTATGGGGAGGTGCGAATGAGGCCAAATTTTTAGACCAAAAAAAGTCCAAAGGCCCAGAACGTAACCCCAAAAGTCCCTTTTTTCTCCAAGAACGCTAGGGTACGCTTTTTATCAGCCCCCAAAATATTTCTATCCCCCCAAAATCCACCAGAAAATTTCTAACCCCCCAAAAGTCCCCAAATCGCTAATTTCAAACCCAAAGAGGCCTTTGCACCTCCCTGTCACTAATATACCTGAGTACAAACTCAAGCGGTCCCAACATTTTGATCCAATATCTTCCGACATTGCTCCGTAAAACTAAAATCTTAAATTAAGACGTTTTTTCTGGTTCTGAGGTAAGACGACTCTTTTATCTTAATGTAAGTTTCTTACATCTTACATTAAGATACATTTTCGTCTTAATTAAGATGTTTTAACTCTTAAATTAAGATGAAAAAGTATCTTACCTCAGAACTTCCAATTTAAGACGTTTGAAAAACTTAATTTAAGATGTTAAATATCTTAGTTGGGTTTGACGGATTATTTGAAAAATAACGGTCATCAAAATGGCGTCAATGCGATAACGACACTAATGTACCGACTTGTACTTGTACAAAGTAATGCAAACACTACAAATATCAGGAAAAACACTTTATTACACTAATAAAATCCAACGAAAAAAAATACACAGAGACAAAGATAAATG